ATTCAGTTTGTCGATTAAAAATGAACGTGATCGACGAATTTCTTAATGATCAATTATCGATTAGTCGGAATCAGAATCAGTATCTATTTGTCATTTCAGTATAAAAATACACAGAAACAAAACACTGCACTCGGATCCAGGTCAACAGCAGCATAAATAATAAGAAGAATTAGGGCTGTGCATTGCCTTGAGTCTGAGGATACAATACATATCATGATGTGCACGTCACGATTCAATATATCCCGATATATCCCAATACTAAAACATACGATGATCTATTGTGATTTATCAATAATTACTTACTTATTACAGCTGCACCTTCACGAGAACACACTTGTATGAAATATAATTTATTAAAAAATTTTTAAGTCATCAGAACAGCGAATGTAAATAATGAAATTTTGTGAAAAATATTATTTTAAAAATCGATTCAAATGCATTTTGAATCGATTCGAGAATTGTGCAATGAAGTATCATGATATATCACTGAATCGATTTTTTCTTACATCCCTAATAAGAATACATGCTGCTGTTGACCTGGACCTGAGAGACCTGGACCTTAGTGCAGTGTTTCGTTTCTGTGTATTTTTATGTGTGTACTTTAGTCGAGTAATCATGCCCTAGCGCACACACACATCTTTCTTTTAATTGCACAGCCCTTATCGAATCAAACCCCTCCTCACTTGATGTTCTCGGTGGGTCCCAGGATGGTGCGTCCGAGGGCGGTGGACTGGTAGGCGGTGGCGTGGAGATAATCGAACACCACTTCCTGTAGGTTTGTTTCTACTTCCTGCATCTCTCTGAGGATGACGCCTCTCTCCCTCTCGATCTCCGCCTCCCCCAGAGTGCTGTTCTGGATGATGTCCGCCAGGATCTCCACAGCTGAAAAAAGCCAAGATCACATGGAAATTAAATATTTCTTCAGAGATATTTTTTCAACAATGTTTGAATCTGATGTCCTTGTTATCTGTTACTGAATTAGACTAGTGCTAATGAATATTTTTCACTATTAATCAGACACACACACATTTTACATATTTTAACAACATTTTGCAACATTTATTTTTGTTATATAATTCATGGTCCTAACTTTAGAAAATTAAAAACTATTACACAGGCAAAACAAGCACTTGTGTTGTAGTCAAGAACGCACTAATTGAAACCATGATCTGTCCGAGACCACAGGGTCCCGAGACCGAGATAAGCCCCTCAAGACCAAATCGAAACCATTGTTGTCATTTTCCACATTTATTTGTATTTTAGAGTTACTTTGGCACATATATATCAGTGTTTTTATAAATCTATCCACATTCTATCTGATTAATGTTCATTTAGTCATACAATAAGACAAGCAAACTGCGCTGCTCTTAAACACTCTGTGCCCTTTTTTGGACTCTCACCCACAGTTTGAGAACCTCTTCTTTAATCCCACTTCCACTTGACACAAAACTGTGCACAAAGTGAAGAAAGTGGGTGTTTTTTTTAAATATTCCTAACTAGAGTTACATTCTCTTACAGGTTTTACAGTGGGATTTAGGTTCTTCAGATTTACCAAACCAAACGCACGTCGTGACAAAGAGAGATTTATTTGGCATTTTACAAACTTCAGCGCACATGTCGCAGTACGTCTGCTGTGCCGACACTGTAGCATTTAGATCAGGTTTTGCTTCACGTTTCGTCATGATCTTCTAATCACTGTGACAGAGACGATGTGCGCTGTAGTACGCGGGGAGGAGCAAGAGCGTGAAAAGACGAGGAGCGGTGCGCTGACATGAAGCAGATGGGCAGGTAGGGTGTTTAAAAAAAAGTTTAAACCGTGTGTGTTTGTGATGTGCTGCGCAGTGTCCGCAGGCTCCAGACGAGCGCACAGGCTGCAGTGAGACGCCCCGCGCTCCCGCACACCTGTACAAGTTTATTGCCGACAGCATCAGCCGTAATGGAATATGATCACACTATGATTGAGAGACAGATCTTGAGTCCAAGACAAGACCGAGCCCCCCTCCCCCTAAAACTTTTCTCATCGACTCAACACGATTCACCTAAGTCACCTGTTTGGGCTTAAAAACTGTGAATTTTGCAGAAAGGTGAGGGATTTTCATGTCTGATTACAGATTTTAAAGTTAAACCTGCATTTTACAAAACTTCTCAAGCAGATGCAAATCAGTATCTTAACCCTTTCTCATCTGTGCCAAATGTAATACAGAAAAATAAAAAACATTTCAAGGTGTTGTCATGGTATTTTTTAATCTCGAGAACTCTTATTTCAAAAGATTCCATCTGAACCTCATCTACTATCCACCCGTGTACCTCTGGGCAGGTCTTTGGAGAAGGCCTTGGCGTAGTACACCGTCTGCTCTCTGGACGTGTAGGCGTTTAAATGAGCTCCCATGTTTTCAATCTCCAGCTCCAGGTCCAACTGAGAGCGTTTCCTCGTGCCCTAGTACAAAAATATACAAAAAAATGCAGATAAGTATTTACTTACTAACCAAGTCTCTACAAATGAAAATGAAAAGTCGCTCTTCTCACCTTGAACGCCATGTGCTCCAAGAAATGAGCCGTTCCATTATTTCGCTGATTTTCATATCGACTTCCAGCGTCGATCCAAAGGCCAACCTGTTTTTAAAAAATATTTTGTTGTAAACACACATATGGGCCTGGACAACAGCTTTATAACCTTTGAACCTTTCTGAATTCTGACTTAGACCTGGTTTACACAATTTTATGGTAATTTTTGTCCATTATATTTTGAGGTATTGATTTTACAAACACTACTTAAAAAGGTACACTATGTAACTTTTCTGATAAGGAGTCTGCCACTTATCTACCAGCTTATGTTACAGAAAAATATTCTTCCAGTAAGAAATCAAGATCAGACAATGCCATCAAATACTCACTAGTCAGTTTGGGAATTTCATTTTTCTTTTTTACTTATGTTGGTAGACTAATTCTGTAAAAGGTTTATATGAGATTCTTTTAGTTGTTTAATATAAGATACAGAAGGAACATTTGGTAGTGTCCGATAATGACTTTAAAATTATAAAATGTATGTTTTTAATAATAATTTAATTAAGTAAGTAATGAATAATTTAATATTACATTAATATTTTCTAATTCTTACAAATCAGCAAAAACTGATGTAGTCAAATGTAATGTAATAAATGTAATGTAATGTAAACAATAGATGGTACACCATTTTAGCAATTTACTAAATATTGCTAAATTGTGCTCCAATATTTTGGATTTAAGTACCAGAAACATCAAACTAAAAGAATATTTTAGAAAAAATATTGTTATTGAAAATTGTAATTTTGGTTATGTGGAGCAAAAATCTATCACCTGATCTTGAAACAGGCGCCTCTGTTTGTGTCTGTGGAGATTTACAACCTCACCACCAAAAAAGATCTGTTAAATCTATTAACAAAGTTACAAGCTTATAATTTGATGTCTATTCTATATTTGTGTACAGCACTTTGGGCAGCTGTAAAGATTTTAATGTGCTTTATAAATAAAGTTGGTATGACATGATCTGGTAAACTGCCCATTGAGGACAAATATACTTTGTTATGAACCTGACCATAGCTGTTTGGAATAACTACAGTATCCAGATGCTGCGTTGATGCTGCGTTGATGCTGCGTTGGTGCTGTGTTGGTGCTGTGTTGACTCACAGTGCAGGTGGAGAGTCCTGAATCCTCTGATGCCACTCGGAGTCCGTTCTCCAAAGTCGTCACTTTAGTTTCAGGGACGTTCAGATCCACGTGCTGCGCCGCCTGCACCGCCAACTGTCTGTACTGAGCTGCTGCGAGCTGTGAGGAAAATGTAAATAAAACTATTACATTTCAATTTGATTATAGATGGACCAGGGCCGATATTGGCCTTAAATCTCCAGCAGAGACCCATTATTTGTTTTAGTTGATCTGCTGCCTAAAGAATACACACAAAGCTTTATTTGAACACTTAAATGCTAAGAGATAATTACACAAAACATGACTACAGAGCTCTCTTAGAAGATTGTGGTGAAAAAGGGCGGTGGACGAGTTTGTAGTAAATTTAAATTGCAGAAAAATAATCAGAAATGGCCCAACATGTCTGCCTACTACTAATGAATACTACAGCAAAAAGAGGAAAGAGTATCCAAGGGATTTACTCAAGTAAGAGTGCAATCTATCTGTCAACTACTGCTACTACTACAACTACATCTATTACTTCTGCTACTACTACTACTACAACAGCTGCTAGTACTACTACTACTACTACTACTACTTTGACATGCTTGAACTAGTAATATTCTTATATTTCTACGGCATTATATGGATCTCGCACTAATGAATCATTACATTAGAATTATTCCCAAAAAATCTAAAGTTTACACAACATGTCATCAGCTGATAAACTCCTCGTCATGATGAAATGGCAAAAATGCCTTGTTTCCAAATAAAATATTGGTAGTCATATGATCATAAACACAACAATACAAAAAAAATCTAAATAAAACGACTTATTTTAATCCCGGGTTGATATTTGTCTTATAATAACAAAGGATTAGAGTAAAAATAGTAGAAGATTGTTTATGTAACAGCCATTTTAGCCTTGAAAACATCACCAATTACGGCTCCCGCGCTCACATTATCAACTTTTTTTATCCGCATATCGAGTCAGATCATATAAAACCCGTTGCTTACTCTGTTCAAACTGTTTTTGTCCAGTAAATGTCTTTTTATCAGCGTCCTCCCCGCAGACACCACACTCCTCCAGCACGCTGCCATGTTGGATCACCACCAAACTGCGCATGCGCCGTTTCCACCGACACCTGCCAAAAAACATTTCAAAATAAAACCACACGCGTGAATTTAACCCTTTTTAAAAACAATATATCTTCATTTTGACACACAATGAATGTTTAGAAACGTAATTAATGTAAAAATATACTTTATACTCGTTTTTGGAAACAATTTTGAGTCGTGCGTAAAGTTATTTAAGAATATTTTGACAATTTCACACGGGAAGGAAGTAAGACATATCATCGCGCGAATTGAATTGTGAGGAAGCGGTGCAAGTTTTTCTAGTCATTCTGGAGGAAAGCTAAGTGAAAATACACCGAAAAGCAAAAAAAATCAAGCTACATTTTCAACGCAAGACCGGACGCTGCGCCAGAGCTGGTTTGTGTCACATTTTGGAAGTGTTAATGTCGTTGCTGCTGCGTTTAAATGAAGCAACGCTATGATCTGAAGTTAGCATCGTGACAATCCGAGACTAACATCGCCTCTTGTTGCTTGTCGCTTTTTAAAGTCAAAACAGTGAGACATGGATGCGGATTTGGAAGACGGGGAGCTGTCCGGGTCCGATTTGGAGATGACGCCCGGGTCCGCCGCGCTCGCATCGGCCCACGCGGCTCCTCCGGCGGCGTTCCAGAGTAGACCTGCGTTCCAGAGTAGTGCGGCGTTCCAGAGTAGACCGGCCGCCTCGCACGCAACTCCCGCCGGCTACCGCAGCTGCCCGGGCCCCGCCGACTCCAGCGACAGCGACCAGGACTCCTCCGACGACGAGGCGGGGGCGTGGCGCAGGAAGAGGCAGAAAGTCACTAACAACGCGCCACCGGCTCGCATGCCCGCGCCCGCGTTCAACCCTGCGGGGCGCAAAGTGAACAACATCTGGGGCTCCGTGGTTCAGGAGCAGTGCCAGGACGCCGTGGCCGCAGAACTGGGCATATTCGGCGTGGACGCCGAGCTGGACACGTCGAGCAGAAACGTGGAGACATACAACTATGTCCTGGCGCGGAAAATGATGGAGAAGGAGCGGGAGATGGAGAGGCAGAGCAAAGGGGATGGAGAAGTGAACATGCTGGACGCGCAGTTGGACGAGTACATGAAGGAGAGAGGAGAGGGGGACGCGAAGAGGAAGCGGCCAGTGAAGGAGAGACTGGGCCCCAAAGCGGAGATGGATATAAAGGGGAGGTACGAGATAACCGAAGATGACCCTCCGGAGAAAGTAGCAGAGGAAATCGCGCACAGGTTACGAGAACCAAAGGTAGATCTGATCGAAAGAGTTGTAGCTGTTATCGGAACCGGGAAAGCTTTAGAACTTCTGGGAGAGACGGCGACGCTGGAAGAAACGGGCGGCGTGTACACCCTGGATGGGAGCAGACGACGCACACCCGGGGGAGTGTACCTGAATCTGCTGAAAAACACCCCGAGCATCAGCAAATCGCAGCTCAAGAAGATCTTTCTGGAGGAGAACAGGCAGGAGGTGAGGAGCAAGAAAGCCGCGCAGAAGAGGAGGCGGCATCTGGTGGCGAAGAAGATGAAGCAGGCCATAGGGACGCTGAATCTGCAAGAGCACGACGACGTGTCCAGGGAGACTTTTGCGAGCGACACGAACGAAGCGCTGGAGGCTTTGGAAGAAGGACCGGAAGAAGAGGAGGGGGAGGACGGGGAGGAGAGAGAGGCGGAAACCCCGGAGCCCAAACCGGCGGGGACGGAGGAGAACCCGGTGGTGTACAGCGCTGCCGATCTGGAAGTGTTTTGATGGACTTTAGATACTTTAGATAAAAACCTGTTAAATCATAATCAAAATAGGGATGTCACCAAATGTTGTGTTTAGTTTATTGTTGCATAGAAACACTGCAAACATTTTGATTGTGATTATAATATTGACATCATAAAATGCAACTTGTAAAATCATTTATTTACTTCCATTCCCTCTAGTGCTGTCACAATATTTTGATTTCAATACAAAAAAATTATATATATACTGATATTCGATACTGATTATTACATTACAATTGGTCCTTTTTTGGAGATATGTCATTTTCATAACAAAATATTAATAGTACTTTATTTTAGCGTGAGGTCTTAACATTTGTTCTAATAACGCTCAAAATGACACTAAAACTGTTCAGGAAAGCTCAAATTTTGTTTTTGTGATTTTATTATTATTTTTTTGTACTGATACATGCTCACATGAGGATCTAGTTTCGATATTTGTTTTAGTATCGATTAGTATCTGATTTTCGATACTTTTGACAACATTATTAGACATTTTTCACAACGGCCAGAAGTGTTGAGATGTAGAGTAAACGTTACTTACGTTAATGATTTTCTGTGGCAAAATATCTGTGTAAATGTGTGTCGTATTTTCCAGCAGCTTCATAAATCTGCCCCAACACCAAATCTTCAACCAACAAACTCCACAAAGGATAAACATTCTAACACGAAGAATTTATCCACAACTATCAAGAGAAGAAAGACAAAAATGTAAAGACGAACAACGATGACGCATTAGTGACACACTGAACAAAACTAATGTTATGGTCATGAATAAAACAGAAGTAACTTGTTCACTCAGACTGATTCTACAATTAAAATTAAAAATCGATTTCATGATGTGGATATTAACATAGACAGAGATTTGTGCAGTTTAAATGTTAGACCTGTAAACATCTGTGAACATTTGTAGCATTTAATCTGCACAAATCTCTCTTGCAAATATCTACATCATGAAATAACTTTTTTAAAATACATTTTATTTGTTCAGTTTTTCAAGTTTTGTGTAATAAAGACCAAAAAAACAATACAACCAATGCAACGCTTGGGGCGCAACGAGGATGTTGAAGGAGAATCAAGTCTCTTTGTTCATGAAATTGATTTTTAATTTTAATTCTAGAATCAGTCTGAGTGAACAAGTTACTTCTGTTTTATTCATGACCATAACATTAGTTTTGTTGAGTGTGTCACCAATACGTCGTCGTTGTTCATCTTTACGTTTTGGTCTTTCTTCCCTTTATAGTTGTGGATAAATTGTTCGTGTTAGAATGTTTATCCTTTTTGGAGTTTGTTGGTTGAAGATTTGGTGATGGGGCAGATTTATGAAGCTGGTGGAGAATACGACACACATTTACACACATATATTAGATAAACCAAGAGAGGTAGAGCGCTTCACTGGTACAAAAAGTACAAAATAACAGTACAGGTGCTCTACGAGGGTTGAGACAGTGGTCTTAGAACAGAAAATTACCCTTACAGGAAAATGTAAAAATGGGTAAGGTACAAACCCAAGGCTCTGACTGAATATATTAAAAGTCCTTTATTACATGAAGGGACGCCAACGTGTTTCGACCAGCAAGATTGTCTTCATCAGGACAAAGTAGTGCAAAAGTAGTGAAAAATTTACACAGATATTTTGCCACAGAAAAGCTTTAACAAAACTAACATTTACCCTACATCACGGCACTTCCGGCCGTTGTGAAAAAGCTCTATTCCCACTACTGTTTAATGACATACCTATATTACATTACACAAACGTTCTTTTTGTCTGAAGAGCTGAATTAGTGTTTTACATCTTGGTTTATTTCGAAATATTAACATGTGAATGAGCTATTATTGGTTCTTAAGTTCATTTGATTGTTTTACTGTTGGTGTCTATTAATAGTGAAATTGAAAACTCTTCCTAAAGCTTTGACTTTACTCGTTACAACAAATGCACTTAAATCTCCTGCCTGACTAATCTGAATAAAACATGCTGAGGTATTATATAATGGTTTGTGTACTTTTATTTTGTTGTAATTCAGTTCATGTTCTTGGTTTTCAGATGAAGGGCTGTAGGGGAGACCGGGGCACAGTGAATCCGTGGTTATATTTTTTATTTTATGCAAAGGGAATTCCTCGGCGGTGGCAGCATTAGAATGTCTGGGGGAAACCCTTTTTGAATTGAAGGATTCTTGATTTGAGTTGAATGATTCAGGCAAAAGGTGAGTGAAAATATGTTTTTCAGCATCAGAAGTAAAATGTTAAGGTAGTTTGATATTTGTTATTATGTAGAGCTCATCCAGGAATAACTTGTGATTCAGGTGTTGTCACGAGCTGCAACCAGGGTGAAAGTTAAGCACATGTAGTTTCTATGCAACAGTTGGCCATTTGGTCATTTGATCTAAAAAGAGTTCATTTGGGGCACAGTGGATCACAATATTCACTGTGAGATCACTGAAAACCTTTGTGAGTAAGCCCAAAAACACAACATTTCACAAGAACCACATGTGGTCAATATGTGTACTTTTTTTTTTTTTTTATGTATAAAGTAAACCAGAGCAAATTTATGCACCTTTATATGAAAAAAGTTCAGGCACACAACAATGTGTTTTGGCACGTTTGCATTCATTTTCCGGGTTTAAAAGAAAGCATTTATTTAATTTACTGTGTTAAAATAAATGTTATTGGTGATTAAATCTGAATCACCATGTACTGATTCACCCTACCCCGGTACAGGGGCAGGGTGAATAAAAAAATAAAAAATAAATTCCCATTTAAATGCTCGTCAGTAAGGACCCGACGCAGTTATTTGAAAGGCAAGGCAAGTTTATTTGTACAGCTCAATTCATACACAAAGTCATTCAAAGTGCTTTACAGAATAAGAAATACATTGAAATCATTATAAAAACAAATCAAAACATAAATAATCATGAAGATTAAAATAAAAAAGAGAGACATAAATTGGAGAGAAGAGTGCAGAATGAAAACCTTTCAGTTATTTGCACAGTTAAACAGAAATGTTTTGAGTCTGGATTTAAACAGCGTCACAGAAGAGTCTGTCTCACATGTTCAGACTGTTCCAGGTTTTAGCTGCATGAACCTGAAACTCTGACTCCCCTTGTTTAGTCGTGACTCTGGGCACCAGCAGGAGGCTGGTCCCTGAGCTCCTCAGAGTGTGAGATGTTCATATGACACTAACATGTCACAGATGTACTTTGGTGCTCGGCCATGGAGACACTTGTACAAACAGAGCTGTTTTAAAGTCTCTGAGGCACAGGAGCCAGAGCAGAGACCTGAGACCAGGACTTATGTGCTCGTACTTCCTAGTTCGAGTCAGGACCCGAGCTGCAGCGTTCTGGATGTTCTGGATGTTCTGGATGTTCTGCAGCGTCTCACAGCTCGTTTGGAGAGACCAGTGAGCAGAACATTACAGTATCTAACCTACTGGAGACAAACACATGGATAAGTTTCTCCAAGTCTGATTTAGACAGTAAACCTTTGATTTTTGCTTGTGTTTTTTAGATGGTAAAAGGCTGCAGATGTTACTGATTTGATGTGGCTGTTAAAGTTCAAGTCTGAGTCCATTATTACCCTGAGATTTTTTGCCTGATTTGAAGGTTTTAGAGAGAGAGACTGGAGGTGATGCTGACACTGTCCCTTTGTTTCTGTGGACCAAACACTATGACTTCAGTCTTGTCACAGTTTAGCTGGAGAAAGTTAGGAGGAATTTTGTATGGACGACACACAACATTACTTACATATAATAAAAAAGAAACTATGATATCATTAGTCTGTGTTACAGGTTGAAAAATAACTTTTCTGACCCACTGTGCCCCGGTCCGGTCTCCCCTATTTGACTAAAGACATTTTTGGGTGACTAAAGATGTGTAAAACGGGGGCTTGACAAAACCTCTCGAAATTATTATGTGTGAGCGCATCTCATTTGTCTTTCCTTGTTTCCTTTTCCTTGATTCCTCTTCTCAATCCTCCACTTTTCATCTGTCAATCAAATGTGTCATATTAAGCAGTGTCCCAAAGAAAACCAATGAGTGAAGGATTAAACCTGAGCGAGGCTTCAGGAGCAGACACCAGAGAAAAAAACTCAAACTTTATTGGTCTCAGTGAGGAGTTTAGATCCTCTCTCCTCCCTGTGTCTCCTCTGTGGGCGGGACTTCCTTATTTCTCACAGAATCGAGGTGAGGAAACAAGGAGAAGGAAGCGAGGAAAGAGAAATGAGACGTGGAGAGGAGAAAGGAGCAGAGGAAAGAGAAGAGGAGCAGAGGAAAGAGGCGGACGACACAAGCAGAGGGTGAATTCTTTCCTCAGGTGTTGGTTCTGACTAAAATTACCTTATAATGAGAGGACTATACTTTTATTTATATTTATATTATGTCATAACTTTCAAATAAAAGTCAGAACAACGTCTTAATTTTAACATATGCCAAATTTATATATAATTCTCTCTTTTTTTTTAGGATTATGCAACATGTCCAAGAGTAAGAAAGCTTTCAGAAATATTTATGTGCATAGGATATCTGTCTGTAGTTGAGCATAAAATAAATATTTGTAAACTCTTGAATGAGTCCAGTCGTACATAAAAAGTATTATGTGTATTTTATCCATCAGAATATGAATTGAAAAGTTACAACATCAAGAAACACAATCACAAAAAGAAAATTTACAATTACGCTTTCTTCAGTACGAATACAAATTCAAAGATGCGACTCACAGGCATTCAGTGTTGGGGAGTAACAGATTACATGTACCGGAGTTACGTAATCAGAGTACAAATGATGAGTAACTGTATTCGGTTACAGTTACTGTTTCAGTGAGTGGTAATTGGATTACAGTTACTTTGTTGAAATAAATGGCTTACACGGTGGTATTTTCCTGTTTTCACATTTTAAGCTATATCCCCATTTTTTTTTTTTTTTGGTTATTCCACTCATTGCCAGAAACTAAACCAGGTCTAAACTAGATCTAAACCAGGACTAAAACCAGGTCTAAACTAGAGCTAAACCAGGTCTCAACCATGACTAAATTAGATCAAAAGTAGGTCTAAACCAGGTCTAAAACCAGGACTAAACCAGGATTAAACCAGGTTTAAAACAGGATCTCAAAGGATTTAACAGGACTAAATCCTGCTGTGTGGACCATGTCTCTTCTTCTATCAATAATATTTTTAATTTGGTTCAGTAAAGTCTGGACTTTGTATTTTCATTTAGCAGATAAAACATCTTATGTGAAGATTTCCTAGACTTTGCTTCTCTACAGCAAATCAAATAATCCAAAGTATTCAGATTACATTACTCACCTTAAGTAATTTAATGGATTACGTTACAAACTACATTTTGGGGCATGTAATCTGTAATCTGTAGGGGATTA